CTTCAGGTCCTACCACATCCTAATGATATTGGCTAGAGGAAGAAATAATTTGCCTAATCCTCTTTGGTTTTATCACCATGAAATGGAGATAATGGAGACTTTCCAGCCAGGTGATGGGAAAGGAAAACGGGGACGCGGTGTGCCCGGACAGCTGCCTGGCTCCTGGGTGGCCATGTCTGCCTGGAGCTGGCACCTTTTGCGCGCTTGCCCCGCCAGGGTGGGTGCGACCAGCACAGTACAGAGGGAGGGTCTGGAGTTAGGAGAGTCGCCCATGGTTAACCAGCAGAGCAGGGATTTGAACTCCCCGGGAAGGGATCACAAAGGCGCGTTCTGCTCTCTCAGTGACTAGAACTTCGGGGTGCCGTTCTCACAGTCTTCTGCATTCTCTTTCCTTTGAGGAGCTCATCTAACTCTCTGCTAGAAGGAGGCTCACTGTTCTGACACACATGCCAGGTCTGGGGGCCCTAAGGTTCAGACCGAAGGCACCTCTCAGCAGACGTCAGTCCTTGGGCTGGATAACCAGCCAGGCATTAGAAAAATTAATGTATGTGCATTTTTATAGGGGGTACAGTAGTATAGTTTGATACAAACATATAACATGTAACAGTCAAATCAGAACACTCAGCATTTCCATCACCTTAGGTAACTATGGCATCTGTGTGGAGAACCTTTAAACTCTTCCCCTTGAGTTATTTTGAAACGTGTAGTAAGTTGTTACCCTGCTGTGATAAAGAATATTATCCATCTTTCCTTTATCTCTTCTCCCCCGCCTCCTCCCCGGCCTCCAGGGACCTCTATTCTACTCTTTTTTTTTTTCCTGTCAGGGTCTTGAACTCATGGTCTGGGCCCTGCACCTGAGCTCTTCTCTTTCACTCAAGGCTAGCGCTCTACCACTTTGAGCCACAATGCCACTCTGTTTCCTGGGATAGTTAATTGGAGAATCGAGTCTCAAGGACTTTCCTTCCCAGGCTGGCTTTGAACCGTGATCCTCAGACCCCAGCTTCCCGAGTAGCTAGGATTACAGGCGTGAGCCACTGGCACCCAGCTGCTCTTACTTCTATGAGATCAACATTTTTTGCTTCCACAAATGTGTGAGCACATGTAGGCACTTCTTGTGCTGTGTCTGGCTTATGTCACTTAATATAACGTACTCATATTCTATCCACATGGCCACATCAGGATTTCACCTTTTTGTGGCTCAATACTTTTCTACTGCTTGTCTATACCACACGTTTTGACTCTTTATCTGTCAGTGGACATCTCAATTGATTCCACAGCTTGGCTATTGTGAATAGTGAAGAATATATACAAGAGTGCAGGTACTTCTTTGCTATATTGCTTTTTATTCCATTTCTCTTAGGGGCTTGCTGGCTCAAATAGTAGTTCTATTTCCAGTTGTTCTCCCTGAGGTCTGCAGTCTGTGACTTCTCCTTTGTCTGTATCGTCCCAGCGTTTTTTACTTCTTGCATCTGATTGCAGCCACTCTAGCTAGGTGAGGGTGGGGTTGCTCTGCACTCCCCGGGGCTTGGTGATGGTGAACGTACTTGCTGGCCATTGTTCTTCTGAGAAGTGTTGGTTCAGGTCCTCACCAGGCCCGAGGCGGCCCACCTCCCCTGCTTCCTTGCAGGTGCACTCCTTCCATGCATCCAGCCCTTGCCCCCCCCCATGGGCAGTCTGAAGCCGTGGGGGAGGGTGACCTGACCCCTCCTGAAGGGTGAGGGGGGGTAAACACCGGCCCATGGCTGGAAGCCAGGACCCCTGGCCACAGGCCTGGGCATCCTTCAGAAAGCAGCACCTCATCTCCCCAAAGACCAGCCCTGAGCGGGACAGGTGGTGTGCTGGCCTAGAACCTTCTAAATTGGAATCATCAAAGGCCTTACCACAGGAGCAGAGCCTTTGCCGTTCAGGTCATCCCACCTTGGCTGTGGGAGCTTCCTGCGCTGCCCTTCTCCTCCCGCCCCCGCCCCACCCACCCCACCGGGGAGCCCAGACAGAAGAGGGCCCCAGCCCCATCCTTCCTGTACCCCAAGCCATCCAGTGGACAGAAGCCAACAAACCCTTCCTGCCACCCACAGCCCAGACCCTCAGGGAGGAGCCTGCTATGGCACAAGCTCCCCAGCCCAGATTAACTCACATCCTGGGGTTGGTTTCTGTGGATCTTGGGGAGTTCTGTTTACACGTTCCCCAGAACCTCCCATTTCCACTGGGCAGCACACAGTAACCCTGAGCCACCTCCCCCTCCCTCGCCACCACAGCTCTCCATCACAGGCCAAATGTGAGTCACTAATGCAGCTCTCGATCACAGGCCAAACGAGAGTCACTAACGCTGTAAGGCTGTCTGTCCCGGCTTCCACACAGAGATCCTGACTAGAACAATAAAGCTAACCTTTCCGGGAAACTCAACCCTGAGATGGGTTACGAAGAAGATACACCTCAAGAGCCGGGCCTTGCAGCCCCGTGTGGATGTGTGGGAATGCAGCAGGGTCTACTCCTTTGCATGCACTGAGAAAAATGGAGAAAATGACCCGGGTCTCCTACCCAGTCTCTCTATAGCCCCTGGAGATTTGGCTGGGCCTCTCAGTGGTGACAGCGTGGGTACAATCCCAGAACGAAGGCAGCAAACGACCCGTCACCTGGGGCTCTGTCTTGCCCCATCTGTGTTAGACAATACGTGATAGCTGGACCCTTCCCCCAGCTCCCTTTCTCTCCCCCCTCCGCCCCCCCCCCGCCCCCGCTGTCCATGAATCCAATCATGCTAGCTAGCTTGCACCTGTGGCATCACCAAGCATTTTTCTTCCTGTGGATGGCTCCTGACACTTAGAAGAATGTCTTCAAGGGTCCTGCATGCTGTGGCATGTGCTCGAGTCTCTTTGTGAAGGACGATTGATGTCCTGGTGTAGGTGGATCGAATTCTGTTTGTCTGTTCAGCAGTCAGGCGCACTTTGAATTGCTTCTGTCTTTGAGCTGCTGTGAGGGACGTAGCTGTGAGTGGGGGAAGGGAGCGTCTGTTGGAGCAGTCTTTGCCTTCCCTTGAATTTGCTGGCCTTGATGAATCGGCTTCCTTTATTGGAGACCCCGCCCCGCCCCCCTGCTGTTCCAATAGGCTCTGCAGGCTTCGTTTGCTAGTTCTCCACACCTTACAGTTCCCAGACCTGGGAGACAGGGCTCGGCCTCTCCTCCCTACCCTCGAGGCTCCAGGGCTAGAGGACTGACCGGGACCACACTCTCTGTGGTCTTGCTAGTCTCTGCATCTCTCCGGGGACCATCCTCCCGCCCACCTCCCCACAGAGCCCCACTGGCCCACCCCCTCTGCCGCCTCACCTGGCCAGGTGGGCTTGGAAGTCAGGAAATCTCCCTCCTCCTCCTCCTCCCCCAGCACAGCCCTGTAATTATGGGGTTGCATGATGTAAATCTTGCCTTAGGGTTGCCTACCTGAAGAAACAGGCCAGCTCTCAAGAAATGCTCTTAGCTCCTGCAAAGAGACCTGCGTCTCTTGGCCTCCATTTCCTTTACCCTGGTAGGACGCACCTCTGCCCGTAGCACACCCACCTCTTCTGACCTGCGGCCTCTTGCCCCCTCGCTCCCAATCCACAACCCTGACTCCTGCGCCTGTGTCCCCAGCGGGATGCCAGGCGCCTGGGGAGGCGGGGTGCGAACCCCATGTCCTACTTGGGGCCTTGGCCAGGTGATGATGGCAATAAACCCGCACCTGAAAGCTGATAGATTCTAGGGCTGGGCATCTCAGGCTCTCCAGGGCAGGCCTGAGCCTGGAGGTCCTGGCAGGGCGGAAAGAAGGGCCTGGGTGCGCTCGAGCCAGCTACCTGTCTCCTTCCCGCCATGGGGCTCACATCCACCATAGTTTCTCACAGAGGTGTCTATGGTCTCTGGGGCCCAGGCTGCCCCTGGAATGAAGGAGCTTCCTGCTCGGGCCCACGTGGAGCTCCACTGCCCCCAATCCAGGCTGGTTTGTCCAGAGCAGTCCCTGAACGGAAGGGAGCACCCGTGGGAAGAGCCGGGGAACCAGTACGTAGAAACTGTCCCCCGGGCTTGCTGCCTGGCAGTGTCCCCGCAGAGCTGGAGAAGCACTGAAAGGCAGAGACGGAACCCGGAAGTGCTTACCGCTGGGCACCGATTTTCCTGCCCAGCCACTCACTGTATTCCAGAGCCGAAGGGGAAGCGATGCAAACATCTGCATTCATTCCCATAGCTACCAACAGAGTCCCGCTGGAATCCCCGGGCTTGTCTCCAGATACCAGGTGGACTCTGTAGCTGAATGTGGGACACACACACACACACACACACACACACACACACTACCAAGCAATCATCACCCGCAAGTGCAAGCAGAGTGGATGGGGAGAGGGCATCAGAGGGTCTGGGTGGGAGCCGCTGGTGGCCTGTCCCGGGCCCGCGCTGGGTGAGGCCGGGTGAGGCCCGGGCTCCTCTCTCTCCACACACCGGCTCAGCTACACTGTGACCTGGGCAGTGTGTGGACGCCCTCCCGTGCCCACCCTGCGGGTGCCCCGGGGGTGCCGGGTGGGCCCCACTTCATGTAGATGGCTCTGGAACTGCCTGTGGAGGCCCTGTGAGGAGTTAGTGCCTCCCGCCACGTGCCCTCCTTCCTGCCCTGGACCCACGCTCCCGAGGGGGCTGTGTGACTCCCATCTCTCTTTATACTGTATACTTTCTTCATACTTCTTTAAACGCTCCCCCCGCTGATCTCTACACCAGGGGGACGAACGGTGAGTCACTTGGAGCCGGGACAGACAGACACGGACCTCTTCCGGAATGGAAGCCTGGGACGGAGTTATGTTGGGCAGGCACACCCTCATTGAGCCCCAGAGTGTCTGACTTTTCACCCCCGCACTTGGGAGTCCCTGTGTTCCCAGAAGGACTATCTCGTGACCCTGACATCCGTGAGGAACCCTGTGCAGGGCCTCTGCTTGTCGGGGCCCTGGGCTCCGTTGATGCTGACCGGCACCTCTGCCCCGCCCCTGCAGGCAGAGATGCGGCTGCAGGACCAGCAGCTGGCCAGGCAGCTCATGCGCCTGCGTGGAGACATCAACAAGCTGAAGATCGAGCAGACGTGCCGCCAGCACCGGCGCATGCTCAACGACGCCACCTGCGAGCTGGAGGAGCGGGACGAGCTGTCGGACCTCTTCTGCGACTCCCCGCTGGCCTCCTCCTTCAGCCTCTCCACGCCGCTCAAGCTCATCGGGGTCACCAAGATGAACATCAACTCCCGGAGGTTCTCCCTCTGCTGAGCAGCCCCTGGACGGGCGGGAGGGCCGGTGGGGGCTGGAAGCTGAGGCCCAGTGGCCCAGTGGGTCTCCCCAAGGCCGGGCTCACCCCAAGACCCGGTGGAAGAGGGGCCTACGGGGCACGGCTGCCAGGCCCCAGGTCTCCCTGAGCAGCTCTTGGTCAGTACCCAGAAAGTGTGCAGAAACTACCTGAGACTCAGGACCCTGCAGGGTCCTCCCTGGGCCTCCCCTTGGTGACCCCCATTCCCACACCCTGGAATCCCTGGTGCTATGAACTGGGACCCAAAAGAGCCCCCACCCCCAGGACAGCTTTCTGTTCTTACAGGTGGCTCCCTCCGGGGACCTGGGGACATGAGGTGTGTTCGATATGCCACCTCCCGAGCTGCCAGCACCCTCCGAGTTCTGGGTCGAATCCCCCCAGCGGGTGACCTGGCAATCGTAACAAGAGCCCCCCCCCCCAGGACAGGAAAACAAAAGGGACAGCAAGGTGGTTCCCCCATCAGCCACCTGCAATGCTGGGGAAAAGTCGGGCTCCTCTCCAACTTCCGCCTTGGCACTCCAAGGCTGCATAAACAGTCTCTAACACATGCCAGGGTCGTGATGGGTATGTATGGGCATCCCTTGGGTTAATCGGGCTCGGATACCATGTTGCCGCCCCTGGCCCCATGCTCCGCTCACAACCAACACAGGGACCCTCCCCTGCCACTGCCACGTTCAACCCCAGGGAAGCACCCGAGAGGCCGGCGGAACACTCGTGTCCCATCCTGAGTTCCCTGGGCTGGGGCAGGACAGACCTCCTGGTGGGGTCTGATGGGAACATCTGCATCATTTTATCTCCCTTTCCAAAGAGATCCCCCGGGGGCCCAGAGTTCCCACCCGAGCCTCCCGAGACTGTGCCTGGCCTAAGCAACTCATTGCAGTTGAGCAAGACTGTTCCTAATGACTGCTTCCCTGTTCGTGTCTGTCTCCTTCATGTCAGCCTGCTGAGTAGGTCAAGACAGTTCTTTGACGTGGCAAATGTAAGCGGCGCAGCTGCAGCGCTGCTGGCAGGGCAGTTTCCCGCTCCGATCCGCTCGTGGCGTGCGATCACCCTGACACTGCAAGTGTCTTAGGCCTTTGAGGGCATCTAGTGGAGCCCTTTTGTTAGTCACAGTGATGCCTGGGAAAGGAGTGATGTCCCTTGGGTCACACAGCCCTTCAATGACTAGAATATTGAGACGGGAGCTCATTATGAGTAATGCCTGTGCAGAACCCAATGAACCTGAACCCCAAAGCCAGTCCTGATGCGTTGCCAAACCCACAAGTTGCCAGTCTGCACCCTCTCCCCCCACTCAGCCCCTGCCGGGTCCCCCCCCCACCCGCTTGCCATTCAGAGTATTTGGGGGAAAGGACAGTAATGGTGGGCAGAGGCCCTCCTGTACGCCGTCCAGGTCCACTGGCTGCTCTCCAGACCCACGCTTTTCCTCCCACATCATCCCCACAGGCCGTGTCCACACATGCCACAGCTCACAGGAGCTGGGGGAGATCTGAGAGTGGGAAGAGGCAAGTAGATAAAGAATGTGGCCCCTTCCTTGTGAATCCAAAGCTTCTGCCAGCATTTGTCGTCAGCCCTAAAGTCCGAGGTTGCATCCTCGAGGTCTGTCCTTAGAGGCCAGCACAACACTGCCAAGTCCCAGGGGGCCTTCCTTTCCTGCCCCCTCCCCCTGGCAGGCCTGGAGCCTGGGGTCATCCTCTAGCTGACACACAAACACATGGACACACATACACACACACACACACACACACACACACAGAGGACATATTCTGTATGCTGAAGAAATACCCAAATTGGCTTTGCTTTTCAAAGTTGGTCGTTAGAACATGACCGTTTTGGCTTGGAAGAATGGAGCCGTTGGGTCAGGTGTGCTGGCGGTGCTGACCCATGCAGCTGGGCAGTCTGAGGCTCAGTTAACCATGTTTTCCCCCTGCCTTCATTCTCCTGAAGGAAGCAAAGACCCAGGCACGTTTGGAATAGGTTAGAGATGCCCCAGCTGTTTTGTGCAGTTCTTCCCCAGCTGTGGTTTTGTTGTTGTTGTTGTTGTTGTTGTTAATTAGGAAGGGTGGGGGCAGCGCTGTTTTCTCTGTGCGGTCCGATGTCTGTTAGCCCTCTACTTTCCAGAGTGAGCACAACCAACCAGTTCAGTTTTGTGACGTTCCTGCTTTGGGTGGCTCAGCAGCAAAGTTGGCCACACCTCCTCTGCCTTCTCTGTGGCTTTCTACGAGTATACAACACCGTGGGTGGTGTCGCTCACTAGCCGTCTCTGTGCCCTCTGTGCCCTGGGATGTAATCCGCCCGGACTCCACTGTGCTGCCACATGCGGTCCTGCCCCCTGCCTTCGTAGGCTCCTGGCAATCAGAAGCCTGGCCAGGCTCGACTGCCACCTGGCCTTGCCCAGGACCTACCCCAGAGCAATACCAAGTGCTATTACATCCTCAATGGACAGTTGGCAATTTTATTTTTATGATTATTTGTTTCTACATTACTGTTAGAAAAGTGAAATAAAAATATTTCAAAGAAAGTTATCTTTGGATGAGACATTGGCTTTCTCCTATTTGTTCCTGTTACAGCATATACAGGGCCAGGCCCCTTAAAGGATGGATGAATGAATACATGGGTGGATGGATGGATGGATGGATGGGTGGGTGGATGGATAGATGGGTGGGTGAATGGAAGGATGGATGGGTGGGTGTATGGGTGGTTAGATGAGTGGATGAGTGGATGGTTAGATGGGTGGGTGGATGGATGAGTGGATAGTTGAGTGGATGGTTAGATGGGTGGATGGATGGATGAGTGGATGGTTGAGTGGATGAGTGGATGGATAAATGGATGGATGGATGGATGGCTGGATGAGTGGATGGATGGGTGAATGGATAGATGGGTGGATGGATGGGCGGGTGGATGGATAAGCAGAAGCATGCATTCAGGCATGGATGCATGGAGGAGTGCCTGGGTGAAAGGAAGGGTGTATACCTTCGGGATGGATACGTGGAATGGATGGATACAGGGATGGATGCATGGAATAGATACAGGGATGGATGCATACAGGGATACATAAATGGACGGATGAAGAGATGAATGGATGAATTAAGCAATCATATGAAGGTGGGAAGCCACAGAATACGATCCAGAGTCATCCTTTCTTCGAGGAGGGCTGCCCAGGGCCAGTGACCGTTGCCACTGTGGGCACGTGGTATGAACTCACCTCATCCTCACCATTTGACCAAAGCCAGAGCAAAGCAAACCCATCCTTCCTCTCCTACAGCTGCCTCCCCCAGCGCCGGGGGGGGGAGGGGGGAGCTCCCGGCAAATGCACACTGCAGGGAGGGAGAGGCTGGCCATGGGGCTTTGGAACAGGCCTGGGGACCTGTTCCTAATGTGCACTCTAGGCAGCACCATGGGGCCCAAAGACACTCCAGCAGAATGGCTGAAGATAGCCACGAACTGGCCCTGGCCCAGTGACTTCCCGGCACACTGCCTCAGAGGTCCAGGCTGGGCACAAACCCATTTTGTGGAAGGGACACCTGACTACAAACTGCAGCTTTCTAGCAGTACCCTGGATGGGACATGGATTGCCATGTTCTCTCCTCGAGAAGCACATGACACTACAGGCGGGGGCCGGAGGGGGGGCAGTGAAGTGGGCCGGGGCAGGAGGCAGCACATGGAAATCCAACACCATGTGGCTCACACGGGGTTCACAGGACAGCGCTATCCAGTCAGACCTATTGCGGTAAAGAAATCCTAAAGCGCCCCCTGCCGGAGAACAAAGGAGCTATCTACATGTGTGTTTTCTCAATCAATTTAGCAAACCCAGTAGATTTGCTTCCCCCCTCCCCTGACGCCCCACCCACCCACCTTTTCCTTCTGGTGCTGTAATTGCCACCTCTTGGCATATTTTCTCTGGAATACCTAAAAGTTTATACACTAAAACACCCAGCTGTGACAATTCAACTAAACTGGCAAATACGTTTTGACTGGAAGGGAACACAGAGATGAGGATGGAAGGCTGGGGTTGGATAGATAGCAGCCAGACCTGAGCCCTGGGGAAACGAGATGCAGGGTGAGATCACAAGGTCTCTTAAGAGAAAAAAAAGTCAACTTCCCACCTCACAGGGAAGTGTGAGCTCTGTGGACTGGACTCCAGACAGGACCCTCAGCAAGCACTCAAACCCCAAAGGCAAAGGCTGCTGTGTTCACCCCAGAGGCCGCCCTCTCCTGCCTCCTGACGCCATGTGCAACTGGAACCGAAACTGCTTTTGCTGCCACGGATGAACTATACGCGGGACAGGAGCCTGGCGTCTCTGCCTCTGCTTTGTGTTTGCCGTTCTAAGCTGTTCTCTCCATAGTCACTAGGCTAGAACTTGGGTTCTGGGGAAAACAGGACCGAGAAGAGGGCATAAAGAGGACAGGGGATGAATCTGCTCTACGAGAGAACAGGGCCTTGCAGGGCAGACTGTACCCAAATGAGCCCAATTACCTACAACCTCCCGGAGCCCACGGGACCATCTCATGGGATCTGGATTGCTCCCTCAGGTGAGGGCTGATGGCACCTCCAGAGCCCAGAACCAGAGCTGAGAGGCCGCACCTGTCACGGGACCTCGGCACGCCTTTGTTCCCCTCTACTTACACCTAACACCTGCTCTGTGTCCTGAAGATGGCAGATGAGCAGAAGGGCCATCTTCTCCTTTCTCCGGCACATTTTGTTCCTAATAAACGTTCCTATTGCTTTTACTGTTTTTGAACCTTGCTGCCTTCTGGTGTGGACCGCATGGACTGGCTGCCGGCTTTGTGCGGAAGGTTTCATTCACGCGTCTGAGCTGCAGTTCACATTCAATCCCTGCTGGGGGCCAACACTTTACAAAGAAAAGAAAATGGTCATTATCTCCCTGAAACCAGGGCGATCGATTTTTAAATCTATGGCTTACCCAGGTGCTTGCTTTCCTTCTGATTTTTCAAAGCTGTTCCT